TGTATAACGGTAAATCTCGACATATACGTCATAGACACCATACTGTTAGACAATTTCTCTCTACTGACATTATCTCTATAGAGTATGTGAAATCAAAAGAGAATATTGCAGATCCGCTAAATTAAAGTTTAACAAGAGAGCAAGCTGAAAGTTTATCGAAGGGGATGAGATGAAAACTAATAAAATATTCAAAAGTTTCCATGGTGGCAACTCAACCTAGTTGACTGGAGATCCCAAAATCTAGGTTCAATGTGACAACCAAACTGTGAAAAACTTAGTATGCACTGGAAAGATTTTACTCCTACCCATTCCTATGATGAGCCAGTGCCTAACTGTCGCGAAATAGGTTAAGTTATGCTTTTAATGATTTCTATATCTTGATTCGTTCAACTGGAGTATAGCATAATATTCTTTATGGAAATCACCTATGTAAGTGAGAAGGGGCCGCTTCTATGAGAATTAGGTGAAGATGAATTCTCTAAAAATCACTCATGAACCAGGAGGTGTCCAAGGCCAAAATGGACACAAACGTGAGAACCAACTGTGTTCGAAGAAAACTGTGTGACTCCTATTGTTTAGGTTTCCATAAACAGCTGACTGTTCAAAGCAACTTGCTACTGATTGGCTAAGGAAATCGGATAGATTTTACTAGGGAAAGTTAAAAGTCATTGACTACTTATCCTGATGCAATCTTCTTCAATTTTTACTTTGAAAAACATATCAAATGTTATTGTTTGGAAAAGAGCCAACATATTTCATTCATGTGAGGGATTGTTGGAAAAAATGGTTATAAAATGGGTTAACTTTGAGTCCAAATTTTAGTAGGACCCACCTTTTAAAATAGGGGACCTAGCATAATCACGTTCTACTCCGCGAGATAATTAACGTGATATATTTATTGTCAAAAATCATTTAAAATTAAATGAAATATTATGTGTTAAAATAACCCACATAAAACTAAGTATTATGAAAGAATTTGATTTTCCAAACACTTATTCCACATATGAAAGTTAGAAAACTTTGGTGTGGTTTATAAGGTGGAAGTTTAGAATTGGATTTGGGCCCCAAGGGATACCAATAGTTTTTGCAAGAGGGAAGACTTATATCCTATTATGTTCGGTCATAAACCCACGCGCTGGGTACGGGTGAAACTTTGTACTATATTAACTTTTTGGACAAAATTTATTTAAAATTTTCGGCCAAATTGTAAATAATCAAATTCTTGGGTACATTATGAAATTTAAATTTTTGGCTTATTCCGGGTGATTTTTTGGTCTTGATGGATTGTTTAACAGTCGTCTGTTAACCGACCAAACAGTCAACTGCTAGCCGACTGTTAACCAACGTAACAAATGCAACTTTTAGAACAACATGTCTGTTCTGGATTTTTGACGTTTGTCTAAAAGGTGACGACTATTCGAATGGCCACGAACAAGTCTATAAATAGCCTGCCTTTCTACCAGAAAATATACACCATTTTCATTGCAAACTTTATGTGCTTTGAATCTCATTCTCCTCTCTCTCTCATTCTGATATTGTCTCGAAATAAAACACACTTCGTTGAGTTCGTTGGAACTTCTGCAGATTGCAGTGCTGCTTCCGTAGGAGACAAAAATTCGTTCTATCCTAGAAAACGATTGCTGGACGCCTTTAGCACCATTGAAGGCAGCAAATTCGTTTTAAGGAAATATCGTAAAGTCGTTGGGCTCGAATTATATTTTGGATCTTGTTGATCATTTCTTACATTCAGGTGATTCTGTCGGATTGTTTTCGAAGGAGTAACTTCAAACTCTAGAAACAACAATACCATGTGTTAAAGCAACCTTACGTATATGCATTCATTTTATGATATGTTTGATATTTTGGACCAAACTGTACTAGCTATAATTAAATAAATTAAAAGTTAAACTTTTGTTTATTTTCTTGTTCAATATAGCCGTGTGCTAAGGACTAGAGTTTCACTTATTACTTGATTGTCTAAGTGTAAGTGATTCTAAGTAGTAGGTTCCAAAGGATGTATAATTAAAAAATAGATAAAATTAAGTTGTGCACCTAAAAAATGTGTGGTTGAAAAAATGTTGACCAACTTATAAACACTTAAACTTTGCCAAACATACAACTTAATAAAATCATAAAGAATCGAAACACAATTTGAGTGAACTAGACTAAGCCCGTTACAAAGATCGTTACTAATTTAATTTACCAATTTTTTAGTTAAAACATTGCTAAAAGCCTAGACGGAATTTTCAGACACTAACTTTTACTAGAGTATTTATTTATTTATTTTCCAGAAACTAGCTTTTTTAGTTGAAACAATGTCAAACACAAATATTTGAACATATTCATGGCGAAAGTTTGCAGCCACGGTTCTTGGACGTCAAATCAGCTTTCTTTAATGGCTACCTTCAGGAGGAAGAGTCTACATGAAGCAACCTCTTGGCTATGTTGTCAAAGGCCAAGTAGATAAAATCATAAAGAATTGAAACACAATTTGAGTGAAATAGACTAAGCACGTTACAAAGATAGTTAATAATTTAATTCTCCAATTTTTTAGTTAAAACATCGTTAAAAGCCTAGAAGGAATTTTCAGACACTAACTTTTACTGGAGTAATTTTATTTTATTATTATTAATTTATTTTTTTTAGAAACCAGCTTTTTTAGTTGAAACAATGTCAAACGCAAATATTTGAACATATTCATGACGAAAATTTGCAGCCACTGTTCTTGGACATCAAATCAGCTTTCTTGAATGGCTACCTTCAGGAGGAGTGTACATGGAGCAACCTCTTGGCTATGTTGTTAAAGGCCAAGCAGATAAAGTCATAAAGTTGAAGAAGGCATCGTACAAATTTAAGCAAGCTCCAGGGTGTCGAATAGCAGAACTTCCAGAAAACTGGTTTTTAAAATGTCCCCACGGGCGTGCTCTTTATTCAAAACTAATAATCAGACGTTAGTGTTTATTTGCTTGTACATGGATGATTTAATTTTACAAGGAATAATTCAAGCATATTCCTAAAATTCAAGGAGGCAATGATATGGTAGTTTGAGATGACAGACGGTGGACTTATGTCTTATTATCTTGGCATCGAGGTAAAGCAAATGAAGGCAGGCATTTTTTATTTCTCAAAAAAATTCTTAAAAGGCTAAATATGATCAAGTCCAAACGGGCGGAGACTCCTGTAGAGACTGGAATGAAATTGTCAAAACATGAAGAAGGAGAAGCTGTTGATCCAATTAAAAGATTGGTTGGCAGTTTGAGACATTTCAACTGTACTAGGCTATATGTTCTCTTTGGAGTTGGATTAGTAAGTTGATACATGGAATCACCAATTATTACTCATTTCAAGGCAACTAAAATAGCTGGGGATCCAAGAATCCAAATTAGCACGGGCAGCCACTAGATAGCTGTCTAGCAACCACCAAATACAAGGGGGGAAATTTTTTTGGCATATCCAACACAGGTGGCCGTAGGGCTCGTCAGGTGTTGGCTACTTCATTATCTCAAAAGAACACTATTATCGGTTACTTTTTCTTTTTCGGATGATTACAAGCTTAAAGGTTATTGTGATGGTGATTGAGCTAGAGATATTGATGATCGCATAAGTACTACTGGATTTCTATTCTTTATGGGCAAAACAATTTCACTTGGAATTCTAGAAAGCAACCACTGTGACTCAGTCTACTTGTGTGGCTGAATATGTTGTGACTTCTTGTATTTGTCATGCAATATGGTTGAGAAATCTGCTCAAAGAAATCGGACTAATGCAAAAGAAAGAAACAGAGATTAATGTGGACAACAAGTCAACCATATCCTTGTCAAAGAACCTGGAGTCCATGATCAAAGCAAGCACATGAATACAAGGTTTCATTTCATTGGAGGATGCATTTCAAAAAAGGAGTCCATGTGAAGTATGTGAGGACAGAAGATCAAGTTGCAGATATTTTTACGAAGACTCTCAAAGTCGATACTCTAAAGAAAGGGAGAAATTTGCTTGGAGTTTGCAGAATATCATGTTTAAGGGGGATGCTGGAAATTACATGAATTCATAAATGTGGTAGGATTGTCAATACACAACTTTTTATGTTATGTATTTGAGAAGTCATTCCAAGCATTTTAATTGTTGGAAGTACTATATACAATACTGGAGGCCTATATAGGGAGTATGTTGAAGCGTTTGAACACGTGAGGAAAAGTGGAAAACAGATTGTGAATGGTGATTGATAAAAGTTTATTTATTCAAATTTTACATTCTTCTTGAGTTTGAGTGATTTTTCTACCCCACTTTTCCAACAGCAACTCCTCAATGAAGAAAAGAAGGTGTAGCTCCAGTGTATAGCCAGATACTTATTTGCACTAGAAATCGTGCTCTAGAGCAGTTGTAGCTCTACCCCAAAAATTAGAACCAGATATATACTTCTTTGCATTAGCAACTCATACGTACGTACAGAGACTCTAGCACATAAGGGAACCAGGCACAAATTGTAGAAGTTAAAATTGTAAACAAGTTTCAGGAGATAAATTAATGTACCTTCTAACCTGTAATTTTAATACTAAAGCAATCTAGTAAAACGAGGCAATAACCTCTTCTTTTTCCAGATTTTACCAATAGAATTTGTTCTTGAGTACTAAACAACAGCCAACATCTCAGAAGAGTATTTGATTCCAGCACGGTTATTAGGCTCCAGTAATAATCAGGTGCATATAGCTGTGTTTCAATGTGTGCTATGCTCTCTTCTGCAGATACCACCACATTATCTATTCGTTCAGCAGTCATTTTACTTTAAAAGCAGCTGAACTTTTTGTTATTTACTACTGTTAAGACATTATCTAAGCATATTACATTCATATAAAAGTTGAGCCAATTTGAGAAAATTGTTAACAGTTCTTGAGAAGGCGTCCGTCCCAGTAACTCACAAGACAAGAAGACACTCTGCTTAATCAATATCATGGGCCCTCAAAGATTAAAAATTTAAATTACTTAGCCAAAATAAATACTCATACCCAAGAATACACATAATATTTGTAGGAGATCCTTAAATTAAAACAAAAGATTGATGGTTGGATAAATTGGTTCATATGTATTTTCATCTTCTTTCTTTCTTAACATTAATCATTCACAAAAATAAATAACTCTCTACAATAATTTAGTTCTTTTTCATGGAGAAGTGATATTCTACTAAAACTCACCGAAATTTCTTGCGTGACTTAAATGGGAAGCGGGAGGGAGGTGAAGGGGAAAATTCAACTGGTAGCTGCGGAGATTCTAAATCTCCACACAACATCCCCACGACCTCTTTCATTGAAGGTCGGCATGCAGGCGACTTCTGCAGGCAGAGTAGTGCCACGGTGATGCAAAGCAGGGCTTGTTCTTTTTTTAAAGATTGAATATTCTGATCAACTAAATCAAGAAGCTTCCCAGCACAGGCAAGAAGGCGCGCCCAAGATAGAAGATTGGCTCGTTGGAACTCTGATATGGGTGACTCCATCACCTGAAGTGGCCTACGTCCTGAAATGAGAACTAACAAACTAACTCCGTAACTATAAACATCGCATTTCTCAGATATATCAACCCCACCACCATACTCTGGTGCAACATAGCACACAGTTCCTCTCATACTTGGTGTGCTGCTAAAACCACCGCTCTTAGGTATCTCTCCACTGATAGAATCATAACTATTTCTCCCCATTCTCCAAAGCTCACCACTAAACCCATTCAACCTCCAATCCACACTACCTCTACTCTTGTTCCTATATTTTTTCTTTCTGTCGGCATACGATTGACCCTCTCTTGGCACCCAATTCTCATTATAACAAACATCGCTTATAGATCCCTGCAAATATTTTTTCTTCTTCTTATTCTTCCTCTCGAGCTCTGCACAATACTCTTCCTTCCACCACTCCCTTGGAGGCCTCCTCTTATCCTTCTTCAAATTCTTGTTGTCATCCAAAGACACCCACCAATCCAGCTGCTTTTCCTCCTTCTTATTTTTCTCCAATTTCCCAACCACTCCGGCGCTTGATGACACTCCAACACACTTGCTCTTTGGTCTCTCCTTCTTGATTTCATTCCCAATCCATTCCATCACATAATCCTTCACACCTAGTAACTCCCCTTCTCCATTATCTTGCTTCCACCACCAATCATCCCCAGAAGAAATCTTCTTCTTCTTTTTCCACACGTTCCTTTCTTCCCCACTCTCAATACTAACCTTATCAAAATTCCCGTCCGATATGCTCGTCTTCTCCAAACCTTCGGATGATAATGCCATTGCAGCCACTGTCATCGGCGACACCACAGGAGCCGTCTCTGCCTCGGGTGACAATTCCACCCTCATTATCACCTCTGATGAGGCCTCAACCCTCAGAAAAGCACCATCCGGTGACATTTCTACTCCCACTCGATGATGAGCATTATTGAACTCGTCAAGCCCACTGGCTGTGATCGCACTCTCTGTCTCCTCCAATATAGATCCATTATTCTCCACACCATTACCCAAATTACCCTCCTTCACCTCACCTTCAACATTCTCTTCCAGTTTCAACCTGGCCAACCCAAAATCGGCAATTTTTGCATTGAAACTCCCGTCCAACAAAATATTACTCAGCTTAACATCACCATGAATAACTGGAGGATCACAGCAGTGATGTAAATACTCAAGCCCTTTGGCTATATCCAAAGCTATTAAAAACCTCCTGTCCCAGACTTTTAACTCTTCACATTTTCGATGAAAAAGACAATCTTGCAAACTGCTGTTTTCCATGAGCTTGTAAACCAAAAGCATGCGACGTTTTCTGGGATTGGACGAATAACCCATCACGGAAACGACGTATTGAGAATCAATTTTTGAGGAAAAAAACAGTTCATTTTGGAACTCACGCTCACCTTGTAGTGACCCAGAGTCCAAGAGCTTGATCGCAACGTGGAAAGACAAGTTCTTGGAGATGGAGTCAAGCGTAATGGTGCCACGGTATACGGAACCGAACCCACCTTGGCCGAGGCGAAGGGAGGGGCAGAAGTTGGAGGTGGCATTGCGGAGGAGGGAGTAGGAGAGTTTGTGAGGGAGTTTCTTGCAATCAGTGTCGGAGGAAGGAGAAGCGCGTTTCTTGGTGAACTTGAGAAGGCAGACAGTGAGGAGAACGAGGAGGAAAAAAGCCGCTGTCAGTCCGACGGCCAGTAAGAGAACCAGGTGGCGGAAGCGGTGGTGTTGGAGGTCTGGACGTGGCGGAAATTGACGGGACGGCATTATCGTAATTCCGAGTGGATTTTAGTTTGGCTGTTGTTTATGGTTACCGCTCATAACAGAGGATCCATAGATATTTCAACTGCGTCAGTAGCAATCATTTGTTCAATTAAAGTCAATAGCAAGAATTCTTGAAGATAACTTTCAAGAAAAACAATGAGGCTTCTCGCAGGCAAAAGTAGGCTTGAATTACTATTAGCTTGTGCTTACTAAAGAAATCGGAACAACGTATACTTGAATGGAGAGAAGTGAGCAGTAGCGAAAAAGATCGATGTGGATTGGATGTGTAATGAGTAATTTATTACTTATGAAATATTAAAATATTGAGTAAATAGTATTTATTTGTTAATTTAGAATTGAATGCAGCGAAAAAGTCTATATAAACATACAACATGGTCCTTACATAGGTTGTTTTCTTCGGTTTTCTCCTTAGTGTCTTTATCTTTTGTGATAAAAAAATATTTGTACTATGTTGTTCGTTTGAATACCCAAAGATCAATCACTCCGTCCATCATGTTATGATTGAACTCTAACTAGGGATGTCAACAAGTCAAGTCGAGTCGACTCACGAGCCAAAATTCGAGGTTCGGCCTCGGCTCGATTAAAATGATCGAGCTTTTTTTCGAGCTCGAGCCGAGTCGAGCAAAAGCTCGGCCAAAAAAATTAGGCTCGACCCAAGCTTTCCCAAGCCGAGCCGGGCCGGCTCAGTTTTGGTAAAAACAAAAAAAAAATTTTAATATAAATAAAGAGGCAGCACCTTACTGCCTTAAACAAGGCACCATGTGCTGCCTTTTAATTTTTTTATTATTTTTTTTAATATAGGCTCATGAGCCCGAGCCGGTGAGCCACATGGGCCGGCTCGGGCTTTGCTGGCACCCCAAAATGGGGCTCGACAGGAGTTTCGGCTCGATTCTTCCAAGCCTCGAGTCGGGTAGGTTCGAGCTTTTTCCGAGCCGAGCTACAGGCAGTCCGAGCCGACGAGTCTGATTGCCATCCCTAACTCTAACGTTCTTCTTTAGTAGCACCTGTTGAGTTATTTTTGAACAAGTTTGTGTAGTTAGCTATCAATTTACTGTCTTAAAAAAAAAATTAATTCACATTTAACTTTTAAACAAGTTATACTTTGTACAATGCAATTTGCAACGAAATGAGTCTTCAAATTCTATATTAAATCAAATGACAACTTGTGTCTTTAACTTTATGCAGCTAACTTTTACTTCTCGACTTAAATTAACATCAAAAGATATAGAGCGAGACATGTTTCCGTCAAAACAACCTGCTAATTTAATGCATATTTGGACCCCATCTATCATTGGAGATGCTATATAATGAAATATTAGAGATCCACTCGCTCCGTTTGTTGAAAGTTAAAAGACAATCTTGCTATAAAAATGATAGAATTAAGTCAATAGTGAATTTTTCCACTATTTTCCAAAACTAATCTATTTATATATGTACTAAACCTTTTTTTTTTTTTTTTGGTCGTTTTGAGATATTAATACCTAATATAAGAACACCCAAAAAAAATTAAAAAATAAAAAATCTAATAATCTGGACAAAGAAGCTTCAAACAAAGATGAAAAGGAAAAGGTTGAGACATGGAATTGGACTCTTTGTAGGCACAGTGTACAGACAGCTCTTGTTTCCTGGCCTGTTGGAACACATTTCGCAATTTACCCCTCTCACAAAGCTTTAGAGACGGAAAAGTGAGAACTTTCAAAATTGGGGTTCAACCTTTTTTTTTTTTTTAAGATGAAAAGGAAAAGTTAACGAATCCAGGCTTTTACTTTCTTCTGTGTTTTCTATACGGAAATGGAAACTGATTGATACCCAGATCCCACACCCAATCCAATGTTAAAGAAAGTCGTCTTATTACAAAAACTCATGGGCACCAATATCCAAAATTTCCCTCAACTGTCTTTTCCCATGATGGGGCTGGTGTCCTATGTTCTTGTTGTCTAACAAAACTTTTTATTAATTGATTATGAAGCGCTTAATTGATCAAACTTTTATTTTAATCACAGTTTATCAACTTTTTTTAATCATGTATTTCTTCAAGTTTTATCAAAATTTGATAAAATTTCTATAATTTTTATCAAAACTTTGTCAGGCCTTATAAAATCTTATATAAATCCTTTTATATGAACCCATAAATGTGGCTTATCCTTGGCTATTTGAAAATAATAGCTTCAAACTTTATACACTCCACATGCATTCTAGACTTCAAGTTCAAATTTCTTAGTCAAGAACTTGCTTTCTATGGAACACTTGTCTCATTAGATTTGGCAAAGGGTCAATCGACCCCAACAACACATCACTCGTTTAATGATTATGTATTGTCATAGTCACATCGAATTAGGGTCTTTTTAAGCACTAAAGAGCATTGAACATATCCACAACTATTCATTATATAGAGGATCAATCGACTACGTGTCTTAATGCATTTCACGGAGAAAGCTAATTATGAATACTCAAGTGGAGAGTCGAGCTCAAGAGGAATGTTATTATGAGTTCTGGCCAAAAACAAATGGCAGTCTGTTCACTGTGGAAGATATGATAGGAATTAAAGAAAGCAAACAATAATTTCCAAATTAAAAATAATTAACATTTTTGTATGATGTATGTTTGCCAACTTCCTAGGCTTTTGAGTGGCAGTTCAATCCAATTTGTTCCCAAGTATGAGGAGAGAATCCACCTAACTTAACTTTGGAAACTTAGTACGAATTCACCAAATTTACTTTTAATAGATTTTGACTTGGACATTATACACAGGATTAAATTACATCGAACAATTTAATGAATGATAAATTTCTAATTTGCTTCATCTTTTAATATTATCTACTTAGATTTAATCTATTTACAATTCCACACTACCAAACATGTCGTTAATTTAGGGTATGAAGGATATAATTTATCGACTTTCATTTAATTTAGTGTACCAAACATCTTACAAATTCATTAATGTTGACCTCTAAAAATGGCTCTTCCACGTGGCCAACTTGTAGCTACTCCACGTATTCCTCCATACGAAATGAACAAACTGTCAGGCGCACACGGCCGGAACCGACGGGGGTGGCGGCCGTATACACTCCGACGGTCAAGTCAGGTTTGGGTGGTCGGAACAGTGTCCAGGGACTACACAAATCAATCAGTCAATAAAGGGGGAGGAGAATATATAAACTTGTTATGGAGTGCTATCTATTGAGAGTTTCATTACCTTTGCCTCTGGCCAATCTTTGGGTATTTATAGGTGGTATGAACCGTGGGATGTGGAACACGTGTATACATCTGACGGTATGAAGCGTCTGCTCATAGGCGTCAATCAGCCGCGCTTGTAGAGGGGGCGGACAGTTTGTTTCCCCCGAGTTGAATTGACATAAAGTTGATAAGTCACATCAAATAGCTTTATGGGGGACGTCAAATCAATTTAAACCTTATATGAAGAGCAAATCTTAAATTGGCAGCGAATCTTCTAACAGGGGTCCACTTGAACCCGACCTCAGAGGCGGGACACTTCGGCAGATTAGTGACAGAATCGGTGTATCACTTTGGAGAAGCTTCGGGAGGGCGGAGTGATCTATTTGATTTCACCGGCTTCGGAGTGGCGGGATGACACTTCGGTTACTTCGGTACCGAGGCTCGTAAAATGAGGCATAACAGTGGTCCCCCAAATCCGAGAATGAATATTTATATTATACGTGGATTTGTTTTCCTGACCGGATCGCGGCATGGGGATAGCTGAAACTTTGTAGAGCATGGGAAGAACGCAGAGCCGAGGCGATGAGCCAGTGGTACGCTCGCGTCGGGTACGTTAAAGCGTCATTAAAATCTTAGGGACTCGTCTGCACCGAAGCGTTGGCAGGAAGAGGGAGACGGCTCAAGCTTTGCAAAGCGTGGGAGGGGACGCAGCGACCGAGGTGATAGCAAACGGGGCGTTCGCATCGGGGTGCGTCCAAGTTTTGTAAAGTTGGAGGACTCGTTTCTCGCCGAAGCGTTGGCGAAAAAAGGGGGTCGACGCGTGGGGAGATGGCTCGAACTTCGTAAAGCATAGGAGGGAACGCAGCGCCCGAGGCGATTAGCCACTGGGGCGTTCGCATCGGTTGCGGCTAAGCTTTGTAAAGTTGGGGGAGGAGATCATCCGAGGCGACCCAGAAGTCCAATGATTTGACAACTGTTGCGTGTTTCCAAGGCGACAGTTGGGTACCACGCCCATTCCCCTAGAAGGCTGCTGCGGCCAGTAATTATTATTGACAGCTGTTGGTAACCGAGGCGACGCGTTTTAATTTAGCGTGAAAGCCACAGCGACATCTTGGGCGTAGATCAAATCTGGCATTTCATTTCAACGGCTGGGATCGAGAATACAACGAACGGTTTAGATTGATCGTTTTTGAATTCAACGGTGGAGATTGGATTTGTCTTTTCTATAAAAGGTGAACTTTGGGGGCTTATCAGAGTTTCTACCTTTGCCATACGAAAAAACAAAATTTTCTCCCAAATTTCTGGCGATTTCCGGCGTTCTACAAGCAACTCCGGCGAGAGAGAGAGCGATATTTTCGGCGATCTTGCACCATTTCCGGCTAGGAAACACTTCCAAACCCATAAGTTTCAGTACCCATTTAGACTCTAAAAATTTCTTAACGAATGGCCTCGGAAGGCAGTTCTGGTTTGGGTAGGAGTTTAGAAATAGTGAGGGTGGACGAGCCCATTGTGGCGACCTCCTCAGAAATAGCCGGGGCCATAATGGGGGGGGAAAACATGTGGAAGCGACCAGATAGCCCTCCGGATACTTCTGTGCACTGGGGGGCGTCAGACTACCCATCAAAGTTGAGGGAGGCCGACCTTGGTAGACTTAGGACAGAATATAGGATCCCAGACAGTGTGGATCTGATTCTCCCAGAGCCGGAAGAGAGAGCTTGTTACCCAAGGCCGGGCTGCGTGGCCATTAGTGAGGCGATCCTTAGAGCCGGACTTAGGCTGCCTATTCACCCGTTCTTTAGGTTGGTGCTTAGGTCTTACGGGCTAGCCCCGACGCAGCTCAATCCGAACTCTTGGAGCCAAATGGTGGGCTCCTGGATGTTGTGCAAAGAGGCGTCGTTAGGAGTGGAGATGCCCCTCTCCGTTTTCCAGACTCTCTACATACCTAAGGTTACTGCCGGGGGGGATAAGACCCGGGGTTGGTACTACCTTTTCTTTGCAGATAATTTCAACAAGAAGCTGCCAGTACGCCCCGACTTCAAAACCATTCAGAAAATGATGGCTGAAGCAAGGGCACTGAAGGCCTCCTCCTCTTCGTATAAAAAGCAAATGGAGGAGCTGGTGGAGGCCAGTAAGAGACTTCAGCCTCCGACGGAGGAGGAGGTTCAGGAGGATCCGGAGGCTGACCTCCGAAGGAAGGGCAAGAAGAGTGCTGCCCCTCCCAGACGCCCAACTGTGGCGAGGCCACCCCCAGTTATGCGGCAGACAACTATTCCCACGGGGGTGGCCCTCCCAGAGAGAAACCCCACTGCTACGGAGCCTGTCGCTGCCCCGGACACGGCGCCCCTTGCGACCGTACCTATTGAACACGTTCCGGGGCAGCAGAGGAGAAAAAGGGCCCGCTCCAGCAAAGAAGTTGACTTCCTTGGCACCAGTTCAGAAGAGCCAGTAAGGGAGGTGCTGGAGGCTCTCCCTCCGGAAACAGCTGCAGTGGCGGTGGTCCACAGCAAGTATTGGACCGAAGAGTGGAGGGACCACACCGCCTCCTGCACTGCTGAAGACTTGGTGACGGCGAACAGCGCCTACGTGGCCCGGGCACTAAGCACAAGTATCCAACTCGAGGGCTTGGTGAAGGATCTAAACTCCAAGAGGGAGGACCTCGCCAAGCGCCTCGAGGAGGCGATGCACTACGGGGACGCTGTGCGAGCTGCCCAGGCCAAAGCCGCCAAAGCAGAGGAGGGGAAGAGAGCTGCTGAGGTCCATCTCGCTGCTTCGCAGGCGGAGGTGGAGCGGCTGAAAAAAGAGCTCTATGAGGTGGGGTGCCAGGTGGCTGTGGTGACTCGACGGCTTGACCATGCTAACGAGCACCACAAGCTTGCCACCGATGCCCTGGAGGCCTCCAACAAAGAAAAAGTGGAGCTGAAGCAGCAAGCAGAGGCCCAGTCAGTGGAGATTGCCTCTCTCAGGGAGGAGTTAAAGTCTGCAGGGGAGGTGGCGGTTCAAAATTTTATTGATCACTTCGAAGACCACCTCCTCTATGACGACTTTGCCAACTTCTGGGCCTCGTGGAGCGCCCAAAGCCTACTGGGTCGGCTGAATGAGGTGCACCCTACATTGGACATCTCTCAACTAGAGGCAGAGTTCGAGGGACCCACTGGAGGTCGGCCTGACAAGGTTACTGAGGGGGTTCCAGAGGCCCAGGAGGCGGCCAGTGCTGAAATTCCTCCCACAGATTAGGGTTTCCTTTGTAATGGCTTCGGCCCCCCATGTATTTCAATTTCATGAAATGGAAAATTTTGTTAAATTTCTGTAAAGTTCTTTTGCTTCTGCTTCCTTGTATCCCTTTTTGTTTTATACTTGTATGAATGACAAACATTAGGCCAACTGCCTCGTAATAACGACCAGTTAACAATCGTGAATCGGTCTCCTTAAACGAACACAATAAACACTTAAGTGAGTAGGAAGTGACCCCCTTACCTTAACCTCTTAATAATCTGAGGCCAGACCAATCGGAAAACGTGAGGAAACGTTTGTTCATCAGCTAATAAGTGACGATCGAATCGCTCAAATGAACCTTTCGAAGAACTGAGGAAACCATTCCCTGGCTGATCCGGTTTGGAACTGAAAATTCATTACTGAAGATAAATTACACCACCCTTTACAAAGGTGATTCCATCACTTAATAATCTTTACAACCAATGTCAGATCAGGACAACCGATTTAGCTATGACGACCTAGGATCAAATTGGAACATTCTTGTCACTGATAGTATTTTCTCAAGTGCTCGATGTTCCACTTGTGAGGTAACACCCTTCCTGACATATCTTCGACCTCGAAAGTACCAGGTCGGGATTCTCCCTGAATGCGGTACGGGCCTTCCTAGTTCGGGCTAAAAACTCCTGACCCGGTTGGTTTCGAAGATTGGAACACTCTTTTGAGAACGAGGTCGCCCAAGCGGAGAGTCCTGTTTCTGACCTTGGAGTTGTAAAAGCGGGTCATCTTACGATGATATTTCGCTAAGGTCATCTGGGAGGCGTCTCTCTTTTCCTCAAGGAGGTGTAGTTCACTTATGCGCGCCTCATCGTTGCTGATCTCATTGAAATGTATCCGTCGATGTGATGGGACACCGACCTCGACCGGACTCATTGCTTCGGCTCCGTAGGTCATTGAGAATGGGGTCTCGCCCGTTGCGGTCCGGCAAGTCGTTCTGATGGCCCAGAGGACGTGGGGGAGTTCGTCAACCCAGGCGCCTTTTGAGGCATCCAGTTTCCTTTTCAGGGTGT